CGACAATGCCGCCCCCGTTCAACCCCACAAATAAGAATACTACTGTTATGGGCTGGTTATTTTCGGCGGAACTTTATTTTAATGCCGTTGGGATCACTGCTGACGTGTTAAAAATTCGACTGGCTGTATCACTACTGCGGGGACCTGCACTAGATTGGTGGCGATATACTCTACAGGAGGGGGAGTTTTCGGCAGGCGACACACAGGGGTTTTTCGGAAACTTTGGGTCTGCTGCCCAAGGGTCAACCACGATTTTTGGATCAACCAAGATTCGCACGTGGAAGGCGTGGGGTACAGCTCTGCGTGAACGTCTCGAGCCAATATCCGCCTCGGACAACGCACGCACGAAGCTGGACAACTGGCACAAGTGGAGTTCTGTCCAGGATTACGCGTCGGTCTTCATGGCGTTATGCGATGAAATCGCCGACATGCATGACTCCGAGAAGAAAGCTCGATTCATTTCGGGTTTGAAGCAGGACATTAAATGCGAGGTCCGACTGCGACTGCCGGCGACATTTCACGAAGCTGTCCGGATCGCAGACAATTTTGACGCACATCGGACGTATGCGAGAGGGGGTTCCCGGGAGGGAAATCGTTTTCGTGGCCAGAATCCACGGCCCACGATTCACGGCGTAGTGGCGAAGGAGCACATGGAAGATTTTCGCAAGGGACAATGTTTCAACTGCCACCAGCCGGGTCACCAATCTCACGATTGCCCCCGAAAGAAGCAGATAAAGAAGAACGACGAAGACAGGTCGGGAAACGCCAAGCGTCAGTAGCGATCGGGCCCCCTATTGACCCTGTCTCATCGCCCGAAAAACATCATTCCCACCGAGTAGTGGTTCCGATACATGCTATCAATCGCTCCCGGCTGAATAAGGGGGATGACCCAGTGGACCACCCTGTACTGGCGGAGGGACGACTCAACGGACGAAAAATAAAAATATTCATCGACGGAGGTGCGAGTCATAGCCTGATAAATCGGGAGACAGCACGACGACTACACCTGATGTTGGAGAGGTGTCTACCCGAAATCGACGCGTGATTGGTGGACGGCACTCCGCTGGCGATATGCGACAAAGTACCTGTCGTTCGAATGAAGTGTGGCGACGATTTTGGTTTCAGCGCGCCGATGCTGGCGACAACGCTCGACTGTTACGACGTGCTATTGGGACGCGATTGGCTGCGACGATTCAACCCACAGATCGATTGGACAACAGGCGAGTGCACAGTGAAGTGCGACAAAGGCTGGCAAAAACTACACACGTGGCCGGAAGCGGGGACAACATCAACACGCGTCAACGCAGTGTGCCTCAAGCGAGCGGTCAAGAATGGAGCGGATTTATACGCCGTCCATTTAACCGAATCGACGGAGCAGAATGCGGCGACCGACATCAACAAACTCTGCGCCTCGGTTCCGGATGACCTGGCGAAAATCATTCGGGAATATCCTGAGATTTTCCCGGACGACTTGCCAAGTGGATTGCCACCCGAACGACCCCAGGACCACAAAATCGAGCTGGAGCCCGGCGCGCAACCTACTGTACACACGCAATGGCACCTGACTCAGCCGGAACTACAGGAGTTACGAAACCAGCTGGACTACCTGCTGGCGAAAGGGTTCATTCGGCCAAGCACGTCACCGTTCGAAGCACCGATCCTGTTCACACCAAAAAAGGACGGCGGACTTCGCATGTGTACGGATTATCGTGCCCTTAACCGGGTAATGATTAAATCGCACTACCCAACCCCACGAACTGACGAACTGATCGACAACCTTCGTGAAGCTCGCTACTTTTCGAAGATCGACCTTCGTGGCGGTTACCATCAAATTCAAGTGTTCGCTGACGACTGCCACAAGACCGCGTTTCGTACTCGCTATGGGAGTTACGAATACACGGTGATGCCGTTTGGATTAACGAACGCCCCCTCGACGTTCCAACTCACCATGAACGGGGTGTTCCGCGATCTACTCGACAAATGCGTGATAATTTCCCTGGACGACATCCTGATTTATAGCAAGACCCGGGAGCAGCATTTAAAAGTTTTGGAAGCGGTTTTTCAGCGGTTGCAGCAGCATCGACTCATCACCAAGGGCTCCAAGTGCGAGTTTTTAAAACAAGAACTGGAGTTTCTGGGGCACGTGATCTCCACGGAGGGGATTCGAATAGACCCGAAAAAACTCCGGGCCATTCAGGAGTGGAAACCACCAACAAATCTGCAGCAGCTGCAATCATTTCTGGGTTTCGTGAATTACATACGGAGGTTTATACCCAACATGGCGGGGTTAACTGGACCTCTAACCAACCTACTGCAAAAGGGAACTTTTTACGAGTGGGGGGAGAAGCAGCAAGCTGCATTCGAGGCATTAAAAAATATTTTAATGTCGCCACCGGTACTTCGCATCGCTGACCCGGAAAGGCCCTTTGAAGTCATCACCGACGCAAGTGACATCGCCACCGGAGCAGTGCTCATGCAGGATTTCGGCAACGGGCTTCAACCAATTGCGTACGAGTCTCGGAAAATGCAATCTGCTGAGCGCAACTATCCGGTACACGACAAGGAGATGCTGGCGATCGTCCACGTGCTCAAAATCTGGAGGTGCTACCTGACTGGAGCAGACGTGACGGTGCGAACTGATCACAAATTACTACAGTACCTGAGGGCGCAGCCGAATCTCAACCCGCGACAGATACGCTGGCTGGACTATCTAGAGTCCAACTTCACGTACAAGATCACGTACAAAAAAGGCGGCAACAATATTGCCGACGCCCTTTCCAGACCATCTGCCCAACTCGCAGCAGTATTAGTCGCCCAAAGCAACCCGCTACTGAGTGGATTATTTACCCACGGGTATTCGACTGACCTCTTTTTCGTAAACGACGGCCATCTCCCAATCACTACACGGAAAGGCGTCTATTACTTACGAAGCGGGACTGATCGAATTTGGGTCCCAAGTTATCGTCTACTTCGCGAATTACTAATTCAAGAAGTCCACGATTCGAATTTATCATGACATTTCAGGGTTGATAAAACTCTGAAGGCGTTGCAGCGGTTTTATTACTGGCCAGATATGGTGACGGACGTGCAGCGTTACGTGGCCGCGTGTCCGATCTGCCAGCGAATGAAGTCATCACACCAGCGACCTACAGGACTGTTGCAGCCCCTCGAGCCACCTCAACGCCCATGGCAAGACGTAACGATGGATTTCGTTACGGGACTACCGGCCGGACCCAGCGGAAACGACGTGGTTTTGGTTGTCGTCGACCGATTGACGAAAATGGCGCATTTCGCACCATGTCGTACAATCATTACGACCAAAGAAACAGCGTGCCTGTTCATCTCGACCGTCGTTCGCCTACACGAGATACCAGCAGCAATCATTAGCGATCGAGATCCGGAGTTCACGTCAAAATTCTGGCAGGACACGTGGGCTTGGTACGGCACGCGTCTACAGTTCTCATCCGCGTATCATCCCCAAACGGACGGCCAGACGGAAAGAACAAATCAAACGATGGAGCACCTGATTCGGACAAACTGCCCCGACCGAAACAAATGGGAGGACGTGCTGCCCATGTTGGAATTTTCCTACAACAACGCGCCCTCGGCTACGACTAATCACTCCCCGTTTTATCTCAATTACGGGATGGACCCTACAGTGCCGATCTCCACCAACGTTGAGAGCCAAGTACCACGACCGCAGCAGTTCGTTGAAGAATTACAGACTGCCCGAGACAAAGCTGTCGAACTTATTCGTAAGGCGAACGCAACTGCCCGACGGTATACGGATTTACATCGCCGGGATATTACGATGACAACAGGGCAACTAGTCCTGTTGGACACCAAGAATTTACGACTGCCACTACCAACAAAATTACGACCACGTTTCTGTGGCCCGTTCAAGATCGTGAAAATGGTGACGCCGGTGACAGCCCAACTGCGCCTACCTGATGACTGGCGTATTCACAACAAATTCCACGTGAGTCTGTTGCGACCCTTCGTTCCTGACACGTCGGACATCGCTCGACAGCGATTGGTTCCAGATGTACGGCCACCAGCCGAGACGACCATCGAGCCTTTGAAGATCTTGAGCCATCGGATTCGTATCGACGGTCGCGGACGACACGTTGACTTTCTGATACGATATACCAATCGTACCAGTGAGGACGACACGTGGGTGCCCTCAGACCAGATACAGTCACCTTTGATACTTGCGAATTATTTGGACCACAAGCACGTGGCTGATATAGATCCCCTTCGCTAAGGGGGGGGGTGGTGTAAGGAATTTTCCATTCCTTACCGAGCGGTACTGCTATCGCGTACGCTCGAACACACCCGAAGCCTCGGGACTTTTCCAGACCTTCTAACAGAACCGCCTCGGCTTCTCCAGACCTTCTAGTTCGACCTTCGGGAGTTCTCCAGGCCTTGTTGCGTCACTTCGAGACCCTTCGATCTCTTTCCCGAACCTCACCATCGCATGGTTAGACTAGCTCTGGCGTTCCTATATCTTGGCTTGCCATTCCTTGTATCGTCATTCATTGAGTGAACACTTCGTTATTCATTTCCGCGCTACTCTGCTTGTTCATTCATAACACACATTGCCGAAGTAACTCTGCCGCACATTCCTAGTAACATGAAGGTGCCAAATTCTCGCCTCGCCAGGTTCTTGCACTCGTCGATGTGTTGTCCTGTCCTGCCCTCGGGGAGCTCCCCCGCCTACCACGCGGGCTGCTCTGACATGCTGCAGGCTCGTCATCACCTGGCTGAGTCAGCATCAGCGACGCAGCAGCAGCTCAGCGGCTGGGCGATTGATTTCCCGCCGCGCAGAGCGAACAAGACCAGGCCGAACCGAACCAGACCAGAATCTAGGTTTTGGAATCCCTCGCTCGGTGTTCCCTGTGCCACCAAACCGAACCGAACCAGGCAGGCCAAGTGCTGCCGCAGAACACAACTCTTCCAACTTCCTCGCCAACTGAAACTGTTTGCTGGTTCCCTCGATATCCCCGTCAACACAACGGACGATATGATTCCGTCCCGTCGTTGTGCCTCGCTCGACTCACCCCTGCTGACTTGTTCTTGTGAAAGCACTCAGCTGCCTAGGATTGTTTGCCTCACTAGTTATTAGAGGACATGGGGGGGTGAGTGGCTGAGGGTTTCCTGATCAGCCGCCGTGCGTCTCTACAAGTTATAGTTGGCCAACAGAACAGGCAATCTCTCTTCACAGCCAGATGTAATTGCCTTTTGCGGCGAATATGCTCAGCCGCTCCGTCGTGTTCTTGGTAGGCGAGCTAGGGCATCCTCAGATGCTGATTCTTCCATTCCCCTTTCCCGTCTCGCTGTTTCTTCTACACCTATTTCGTACCCTAATTTTACTCCAACCCGTCAGTTTCCGTGCTTCCTTCCTTTTCTCTTCTTCCCTGCTTTCTGGGTACAACACGGAATTCCAATCCCACTGATAACGACTGACTCCTCACCTAATCTTCCCGCTTCTTTTCCGACCCGTCCGTGCATGCTTGCGTGTCATATCCTCGCCAGCTGTACCGACGAATCCTCTCTTGCGCGCCCTCTCAAAGGATTCAGATGCGTCTGAGAATTCCACACCAGGCAGCAGGCCTTATAACGAATCAATAGCAGAGTCCGAATAACCTTGCAGGGTGCAGCAGGCCAGGTCTCTGAAGCGCGTTAGCGCAGCGGCAGAAGTAGCAGTGGCAGGGAGAAAGGCAGTGGCAGTGGCTGAAGCTGTATAAGAGGTAGTGGTTGGAGAGGGATTCAGCGGCAGCAGCAGCAGCAGCAGAAGCAGCAGCAGCAGCAGCAGAAGCAGCAGCAGCAGCAGCAGAAGCAGCAGCAGCAGCAGCAGCAGCAGCACCTTCAGCGGAAGCAATCAGCAGGAGCAATCAGCTGGAGCGAGCATGGCGGGCGTGATAAACATGGCGGCGGTGACTCGGCCCGTGGAGGTGGACAACAACCTGTCGCTCCGCGTGTACCTGCGACTCGCCAAGAACCTGCAGCACCTGGTCAGTGCTAGTACACACACCCCTCTTGAGCCGAGTCAAACGCTGTAACGAGATGACCCTTGAGAGTCCGCGCCTTCTTGCGACTCGCCAAGAACCTGCAGCGCCTGGTTAGTGCTAGTACACGCGCCTTGCACGAACGGCGAGGGATGAGGGACGCGGGAGGCTCGAGCACTCAGGACTTGATGTGTGATTGGTTCGAGGACACGAATTGCCATTGTTTTTATGAAGTTTTGACTATTTCTCCTTTCCCCGCGCATCATGGGCTCGAACCATTTTTCGACTTGATATATCTTCGCTGCGTTTAAGGTCTGTCCAGTCCCTTACTTTTGAAAACACCTCAAAGGTCCGTATCGTTTTCCTTTGGATCGCTTTCACTAGGTCCAAATTCTGCCCTGTCTGGTTCCCCCGCTACCTTGCGCTGCAGGCTGACGTGTACCGCTGCGAGGGCAACAAGCTTCAGCTCTATGTGTTCCTAATCCGTTTCATCAGGTACCACCTCCCTTGCCCCTATGCCAGTCCTTCCCATGTCGACTGTGAACTTCCGCTGCCTCTTGCCTTGACTGCAGCACCCTGGCCGCGTCTTATTTTCCTTTCCCTTCTTCCTCCCCCCTCCACGTTTTTTTCCAGTTCACTGTTTCCCATCCCCTCCTTTTCCTCCCCTCCATCATACCTCCCCCTTCCCTCTCTTTTTGAGGCGCCTCAAAAATAGATTCCTCCCCTCCATCATACCTCCCCTTTCCCTCACTTTTTGAGGCGCCTCAAAAATAGATTCCTCCCCTCCATCATACCTCCCCCTTCCCTCTCTTCACAACCCCAACCTTTTCCCCGTTCGCCGGTACCTTTGTTTCCCTGCACCATGCAGCCTGGTGACGGCCACTATCCCGCAGCACAAGGAGTACCGCAGCCAGTCGCACCTGCTCGCCCTCACCAGCCTCAAACGGGTCAGTCCGCCTTATGCTCGCTGCTCTCCTCTTCCTCCTGCCTTTTCCTTCCGTATTTATCTCCCCCCTTCCCTCCCCCCAAGCACACGAAAGCCAGACGTGACTCGCTTCAACGCTCCTCCACAACCTCTCCTTCGCCTCCCCTCCTGTCACTGATTAAGTACACATGTCCCCATCCCCTCCTTCCCTGTGCTTTCCCAACCACAGCAAGCCCTGGACCTGCTGGGTCTTTCTCCGGAACCCTGCGTTCCTCCTTCCCTCCTCTCTCTTCTCAAATACCCCGACCTCCCCCCCCCCCCCCCCCCCCAACCCTCCAACCCCCCAACCACAGCAAGCCCTGGCAGCGCTGGACGAGCACGAGCAGCTGAAGCCGGACGTGGCTCGCCTCAACCCCTCTTCCTCCTTCCCTCCCTTTCTTCGCTTCCTACCTCCCCGCATCCACCTTTTCTCTCCTCAAACAGCTAGCCCTGGCAGCGCTGGACGAGTGCGAGCAGCTGAAACCGGACGTGGCTCGCCTCAACGGCGTCAGCCTGCTGTCCTTTGAGGAGGACTACCCACCGGAGGAGGACGGCGTCGTGCCCGTGTACTTCCCCACCTCCCCTCCCCGCCGCCCCTCCTCCTTCGCCTCCTCCTTCGCCTTCTCCTCCTCCCCCTCCCTCTCCTCCACTGCCTTCTTCTCCTCGTTTTCTTCCTTCTCCTCCCCTCCCACCGCCCCTTCCTTGCTCACCTCACGTGCGAGCTGGCCGGGGTATGCCTATGGCAGCACAGGCAGCAGCACGGACAGCAGTGCTACTGGCTCTGGTGGTGGTATTGTAGCCATGGACAGTGGCAGTGGCTTCTACACCAACGGAAGCTATGCTAGCAATGGTGTTAGTGCTGCTCTTGGTGGTTACACTGGTGGTGACTATAACGGCGGCAGCAGCAGCAGCAGCAGTACTGTGTTGTCTGGATGCGGAGCGACAGGGGCACTGAGCCTGGGAATGGATCTTGACGTCTGGGCTCAGTCCCTGGTAGGTCCTCCTCTCCTCTCCTCACCTCTCCTCTCCTCTCCTCACCTCTCCTCTCCTCTCCTCACCTCTCCTCTCCTCTCCTCACCTCTCCTCTCCTCTCCTCACCTCATCCTTTATATCTATACGACCTACTTCTCCTTGCCTCAGGAGTCGATTTTGACGCCTGGGCTCAGACTCTGCTAGGTACTCGCCTCGCCTCGCCCTTGGTCTAGACTCTCTATATCACCCTCTTGATCATGCTGCTGCTGCTTCTTCCCTTCTTTCCTTCTTCCCTTCGACTTGCCATTTCACATCTCTCCGTACGCCCTTCCAATCTCGCCTTTTTCTCGTATCTTCTCCTGCGTTCCGCCTCTCCTCCGCCCCTCCTTTTCTTCAGAACCAGCCTTCACAAGAGCAGCAGCAAGCCCTCACTCTCGCCCCTCCCAGCTCCACTTTTTCCTGGTCCAACCCTGCTTTCTCATCAACCTTCTCGCAGCAGCAGCAGCAGCAGCCTCAGCAGCAGCAGTCATATCAGCAGCAGCAGCAGTGGTATCAGCCTCAGAGCAGCAGCATGGATTTGCTATCCGGGATAGGTTCTTTATCCCTCACTACCGCCGCTGCCGCTCTGCCTACCATAGCGTCTGCTGCTACAATGGCCTCATCCATCGCTCGCCCTCTTACACTGCCATCCTCCTAGTGAGTCCATATCGCCTCTCCATTCCCCTTCCACTTCTCCCATCTTAGTCGATTCCCCCCACCCGCGCACACCCTTCTCCGTTGCCCCATTGCCTCTCTCAGTCTCTCTTCTGCAGCAATCGTTTCTATTTCTATGTAACTCCAACAGGCTGTACGTTCCTTCAAGCAATTTTTCGGCTTTTGAGTTGACTCAAAAGCAAATCGGTGTCTCTTGTGCAGGCTGCAGCACTCGATTCTATTTCTATGTAACTCAAACAGGCTGTGCGTTCCTTGAAAAAACGTTAAACCCCTTCCTCCCAGTTGCCCAGCTTAAAACCCCAGCATCTCTTACTCTTCCGCCCACCCCCCCAATTTTCCCACACTTCCCCACTTCCCCCATATTTCCCCCTACTTCCCCCCACTTCCACCCACTTCCAACCCGGCCCATCTACGTCTGCAGCACCATGGCTCTCCCCCAGCCCAGGAGCGAGGCCCTGTCGCGCCACTCCCTCGTTGCCTTCCCGTCCTCCGCTCCTCGCCAACGAGCCTCCGCCCCTGTTCAGGTGAGTGCCAGTGAACAGGGTACATGAATTTAGACGGGTTGAAGTAGCCTCCGCCCCCGTGCAAGTGAATGCCACACGAATAGGGGGGCAGTTACCTTTGAGAGGTCTCAAAGTAGCCCCCTCCAGGAACAGGCGATTTGCTGGTGAATAAGGACAGTTCGTCTTAGAAGAGTCAAAGTAGCCTTTGTTCCTTGCCCCGCTCTCTTTGCTTGCTCAGTCTGTCTGCCTGCCTGGTCCCTCCATGTTCTAGATGCCACATGTGGTGGTGGGGATCGTCACGTGTTCTATTTGATGTCGAATACGTCATCTCGCCTGTATTTCTCTCTTCTTCTGCCCCACGGGCCACCGCCCGCGACGCCACCCATGCTCCTTCCCATTGCTCCCTTGTCTTGGCTGATGCTGTGTACAGGTGTCGTATCCGACCAAGATTGACACATCACCAATAGAGCTTCCAGAGTAGGTGTTTTTCCACTCCACCATGCGCCTTCCTCCTGGTGCCTTTCTTGTTCTCCCCCGCCCTTGCTCTGTTGCTTTCTCCCCCTCTCGTCCACACCACACCACACCCCTCTATTCCCACATTACACCCCTCTATTCCCACATTTCACCCCTCTATTCCCACATTGCACCCCTCTATTCCCACATTACACCCCTCTTTTCCCACATTTCACCCCTCTATTCCCACATTACACCCCTTTATTCCCACACCTCTCTGTTCCATCCCTTGCTCATTTCAATCTTGCACCCCCTCTCATCTCATTCCCTCTTCGTTCCCCTGCCGGTCCCTTGTTACTTCCTCTTCAACACAGCCTGCTACTATGGCCAGAGAATCCACAGCAGCAGCAGCAGCAGCAGCAGCAGCAGCAGCAGCAGCAGAAGCAAGGTGCAGCATCAGCAGCAGCAGCAGCCAACCAGGACACTCGTGAATCGTCTAGCAATGTTCGGAGTGAGACAGAGAGAGATCTTCGAGGAGACACCACAGCAACAGGTGCAGCTTCAGCATCAACAACAGCACCAACTGTACCAGCAGCACCCGCAGTTGGAACAGCAGCAGCAGCAGCCACAGCAGCAGCAGCAGCCACAGCAGCAGCAACAGAGGCCATGCAGGCTCTTACAGCTACAAAGGACCCCACTGCTCTTCAACCACCTTCTGAAACCTCCTCTGCTGCTGCTGCTGCTGCTGCTGCTGTGACAGCCAGTGCGGCAGCAGCGGCGGCGGCGGCGGCGGCGGCAGCAGGTGGCGTAGGAGCGAGAGGGAACGAGGCGCAGGTGAATGGCGGTGTTGGGTTACCCTCCCCTCGAGTCCAGCCCGCCCCGCCCCCTGCTAACGCTCCGCTACAGGAAGTTTCTCTACCAGGCACGGACCCATCAGAGCACTCCCATAAGCATGGGCATGGGCATGAGGCGAAGAAGCAAAACCAGCGGCTGCAGCAGCAGCACCAGCAGCAGCTGGTGGTGGGAGGGGCGCTGCCGGAGAGGAGTGCTGGTGGTGCTGCTGCTGTTGGCAAGGGCAGGAAGTCGACAGGGCCCAAGGGAGTGAAGGCCGTGCACATTGTATGCCACGCTCCCGCTTTTCCCCTGCTCTCGCGTTTTCCGTGCTCGTGCTTTTGCCCCACTCTCGCTTCTGGTGAATGTCTTCTTCCACAGTGCCATGTCTTCTTCCCACTTCCGTTTCCCTCCCGAGAACCCCCTAGTCCCGTCCCCCTTGCCCTTTGCAACGCTCCATCCACCACCCACTGCCCCCTCCAACTCCTTCCTGAATCTGCCTCCCGCACCCATCTCCTGAATCTACCGCCCAGTTGCTCACGTTTCACCCCTCATCCCTTTTCTCACCCCACAGCCCCCCTCCCCACTCCCCCCCCTGGCGCTTTCACCATTGTCTCGTTGTATGTGGCCGTTTCTCTCCTTATCGTGTGCTTTTTCTCTCATGAGCACGGACGGACGGTATCCCAACCTCCACCAGTCGATGGGAATGATGAACGAGTCCGTGCGAGTGTCTTGCTACTTAATTGCCCGTTTCCGCTCGCTCTATGTGTGCTTGTGCATGTGCATGTGCCTTCTTCCCTGCATGTCCACCACCGCCAGTCAACGAGGATGATGGATGAGTTCATGCGAGTGGTCCTGGACAACACGTCTCGCAACCTCGAGACATGCGCCGTGCTCGCTGGCTCCCTGGTAATGTGTCACTCTTCACTGGCCTGTTTTCACTTGTGTGTAACATTGTAAGGCTCACAGGCACTGCTGCTGCTGCTGGGTCTCATCAAACCCCGTCACACTCACGCACTGTTATCACGAGCTGTCTAATCACCGCCTCTGCAAGAGGAGCTTGAGAGCAGTCTTTAGCCCGAATACACTCTATCAACACTGTCCCTTCATTTTCTGCTGCTCCTTACCCTCTCTGCCCCTGTCCTTTTTTCTCGCCTCCTCTCGTAATATGCTTTTCCCAACCCTCTTACCAGCCTTCTTCCCCTCCCCCTCCTGCAACCTCCTTCTCTCGTACATGTCTCGTTCTGTGTGCTGTTTTCTTCATACAGAAGAAAGGAATGTTCTTTGTCACAGCACTTATCCTGCCAAAGCAGCATTCTACCTCTGATTCGGTACTTTTCCTTCCCCGTCTCCCCTCCTCATCCTCCTTCTGCCTCTCCTTCTTTGTTGTTCCTCGTCCTTCCCTCCTGTGACCTGCTTCCATTGCGGACTGCAACTTCTGGCAGAGCCTTTATTTTCCCTGTTATCTTTGTCTCGTCGCATACAGCTGTCAGTCAACCACAAGCATTTCTGGTGTTGCAAGCCTAGAGAGACCTCTCCTCCCTCTGTGCGACCTGCTGTTACCCATGCTTCTGGATCCCACCTCCCACACCCCTCTGCTGGCCCTTTCTCCTCATCCCTGTCTTTCCACGCCATGCCATCCCATGCCACGCCATGCCATGGCACACAGTGTTCCACCACCAACGAGGAGGAGATATTTGAGGCACAGGACAAGCTGGGTCTCTTCCAACTCGGATGGATACATGTACTGCCCTCCCCGCTTCCTTCAACTGTCATCGTCCGCTCATCTCTCAGAGATTATTGAGTCCTCCCTGCACTTGTAAAATGCTTTCCATCCCCACCCTACCTCCGCTTCCTTCCCCTCTTCCCGCTCCCTCCTTGGCCTGCATGTGTTGATAGGCAATCTACCCTGCTGTGTTTACTGCTTCCTGACGTACCTATTCTTTTTCTTCTTCTTCTTTTCTTCGTTTTCGTATCCCTCCCCTCTCCCCTTACCCCTTACCCCCCCCCCATCAGACTCATCCGACGCAGTCCTGCTTCATGTCATCAATTGACGTGCACACCCATTACTCCTACCAGGTCAGATCTCTCCCCTTCCTCCCCCCGGCTTGAGGAGTCAATTTTTTAGGCGCCTAAAAAAATTGACTCTCCCCTTCCTCCCCCCAGCTTGTGCTCCTCTTTCTCCATCCCCTCTCTTCCCCTCTCTTTCCCTTTGTCTGCTACCTAACATTCCATCTATAGTTTCCTTCCCAGCGCCAATGTCTTATCCCAGCCCCTATTCTTTCGTTCGCTTTCTACTTCCTTTTTTTTCTTTCTTTCTTAACCCCCCAGGTGATGCTTCCGGAGGCCATTGCCATTGTCATGGCTCCCATGGATCCCAGACGGTATGCCTTTGCTACTTGCTTCTGCCTGTTCGTGTTTCCCGATTCGCACCTACTCTTCTCTCTCCAAATCCATGCCCCTCATTTCCCCTGACCCTCCTCCCCAACCCCCTAACTGCTTCCCTCCTACCCCGTGCTACTTTCTTATTCGTCTCGTTCCGTGCCTGCTTTCTTGTCCATATTGCATCAAGCTTGGCAAATAGGCCCCTCCCTCTAGCTATCCTCACCTTGCCTAACTCCTCTTCTCCCCCCCCCTTCCACCCCCCTCCCACTGTGCTCCTGGCTGCAGCAAGTTTGGCATATTCCGTCTGACAGACCCAGGGGGCATGAAGGTCATCCAGAAGTGCCCTCTGCGCGGCTTCCACTCCCATGAGCAACCCAAAGACGGTAGTCCCATTTATACACATAGCTCACACGTATTTTTCAACCCGAAGATCAAGTTTGATGTGGTCGATCTACGCTAACTAGATAGACCTACACAGCAGTACGTTGGAGATGCTATCACGTTCCGAGCATGTTACAGATTTTGTATGTGTTATATATTGTAGGCATGTCATAGTTGCAGGTTGGTAATGGAGTTATTGAGCGCGTGTGACTCAAATATTGCTGAACTCGTGGTCTGCATCTTTCACATGACATTAAGCGTAAGTACAAATCGTAGGACTGTGACATGAATTATACTGAGGCTGGCAATACACTAGGAATCCCCTCCGGTCATCTTCGAGCAGGATCTGCCACCTACAGTTTTGTGATGGTAATCGCCTTGGTACTCTCAGCTGTGATTGTAGGAGGCATGGAGACGGCATTCATCCAAGCTTTCGAACTGCAGCAGACAGAAATGGCACCAGAACTCGCGGGGATGCCTTTTGCTCCGGTGGTTCCACAGGTCCCGCTCGCTTGCGAAGCTCTCGTCGCAGCACTCGTAAGCTCGACACGGCATGTGTTTCGTCTGCTCATGCTGCTGAACGTCCTTCGGTGAGAGAAATTCCGCCTCGCAGAACCTGCAGACGTGCTTACGGGGATGTACCTCGTCCCAATGCTCCACTAGTGCCTCCGTCGTTGGCATGGCTTCGTAACAAAATTCGCACACATAAAACCCTCCGTGCGAACGCTCTTCGTGGTCCAGCACATACTCCTCGGAACAGAATTTCCTCTCACACAGTCGGCATTTAATGAGAGCCATTGGCGGCGATATTTACCTTCGTGAAGTAACCAACAGCAGCAACTGAAACCTTGCAAAGACAACCAGGAAGAGCGGCCTTTCCATGGGACTCGTCAAGCAGACTCGGCGTGGCGAAGCGTTCGACTGTGCCATTCTCCGAGTACAGCGCGCCGAGTGAACTGACGGCTGTGCAACTTATGTACTGCACGCAGATCGTGCATCCGCATGCACGAGCCTCAGCTGCATGCGTTCCCAGTCTCAGGAAGGTACGTCTGAAGTTTGACTGGCAGGAGAGAAAACGGAACATTGAGAATCGTCTCCAACACCGATTTCAAAATCTCAACGGAACATTGAGAACCTCATGTTGTCCCACAATGAATCTTCCCATGTACCTAATGAATCCATCTGCTATGGTAGTTGTGAAACACACATACTATCCTCTAATGTCTCTCTTCCGCTTAGCCTGATAGCCCAGCTTGACTTCCTTAGCCAAACAGGAGAAGCCGATCATGGTGCCAGTGTTGCACTACCATGCAGTCTGCAGGCGTGTCACACTTTTCTCGCGCGGGCGTTGAACCTTTAGACAGTTAACATCAGTCTGCTGCTGACCATGTTGTTTTCCATTTCAATGATGCTTGTCTGCAATATGCTGAGAACACGCATCCATGGACCTGAAGTGTCGCTCACAGCGCTGGCACCGGAACTTGCGGGGATGGCACTTGTGCTGGTGGTCCCAGAGACCCTGCTCCGTGCGAAAGCTGCGCTCACAGCACTCGCAAACCGGACGAGGCAGATGCTTCATGCTCTCGTGACGTTCCACACCCTCCTCTGAGGAGAACTCCCCATCACAGAACCTGCACACGTGCTTCCGAGGGTGCTTCACGTCCCAATGGTCAATCAATTCCTCTGATGTCACGAAGGCTCGGTTGCAGAGTTCGCAGGAATAGATCGTTCCGTGCACGTGATCCTCGTGCTCCTCGGCCTTCGCTTCAGAGCGGAACTCCTTGTCGCAAAACCGGCATTCAACGAGAGCCATAGAATCCACCCTTCCTCTTCACCAGCAGCAGCGACAGGATCCTCGCAAATATGTCAGTCATTAAATCGGAAACCGCTAACAGTGATTTTGAGTAACCGTAAGTTGTCAATCATTAAATCGGAAATCCCATCTATGCCACCTTCCAGAGTGCCTCCGCAATATGTACGTATCGGTGGCTGCAGTGGAGTGCATATGGCCTCGCGTGCCAATTCCTATGCATGAACTGTCATGTACTCCCTCGTTTTGAACGATAGAGGCAGCATGGAGCGTCAGAGATTCTTTGGACGGAGATTCCGATGCCGAGAGGGAGAGCGAGAACCATCGAGGAGACAGATCATCGGCCGCCGCCATGGATCCACAACAGTTCAAGTTTGGAACTCTCATCCTTAGGGGGAGCGACATTGGGCTCGAGCAGAGCCAAATCCCGAGCCTGCGGCTCAGTGTCGCACTGAAATGCCGAAATTGCTCAGAATTTTGGAACACGACATTGAGCCGCGCTAAAGTGCAAAGTACACGAACAAACTTCGCAAAGGAACAGGCGCATGTGAACAGTGAGTGACAAAACACAGAGGCGAAATAATCGGTGCACGAAAAAAAACACCCCCCTTGTCGCCAAACGCTGCGTCACTCATGCCACAGCTGAACATTGGTTTCCCAATTTTGCTTCTGGGTTACCGTTTACGTTTCGTTTCGTGCTGTTTGGTTGGTCGCGAATCTACTATATTCGCAAAACAACAATGTAACACTTCTTCTGCCCAGGCTCGAGCCGGCGGCTTGTCCCGTCGATTTCGCACATTGAGCTCGCAGACTGAGCGAGCATCACATTGAGCCGAATGTCGCCCGCCCTTACAGCACTCACAGCAGGGCCGCTACCCACGGCCCCGCTGCTACGATGGAACCCTCAATGGAAATATAAATCAGAAGCTATACCTATAAGTACAACGGAAAAGAAGACACAACACAACACATCCTTCACAATTTTTGCGAATGAAGCACCCGCATTACACCATCCTAAACTCACCGCACTTCACAACAGCTGCCTAAGATCAAGAATGCAGTACATATTGCAAAATGAAATAATATAAACAAATGTTGGAGCTCCGATCAATGATTATAACGAAGGATTGCGACGGTCCGCGTCTAACATGGCACCGAATAGTTGATCAGTGATCACTGAAGCGCACAACCAGAAGACGAACCTTCATTCTTCACTACCTGACCATATGCAGCAATCTCCACTGCATCAAAATCCCGCTCTGGAGGGAATAGTCACAGAGAATGAGTAACCAATTCGAGGAGAGAAGACTGAAAGCGGGCCCATTGTGTGGGGAAAAGCAGGGAAAAGCAGCAACACAAAATTATTTTCGAACAAAACAAATGACTAGGAATGAGGTGAAGGAATCTTCATATAAACCCTGAACCCAGGCCCCACGTGCAGCCTTGACAACTGACCATCGCAATGCACACAGAAGTTGCAGTACATACTAGAGAGGCTGCAGTAGGTGCTGCGCTGCATTAACTCCGTGCGTGTCATGTCCATGCGAGCGCCCTTGGCTCGATTGACTGCCGTCTGGTGAGGTGCTCGTGGGGGAGATGGGTTGAATTGAGATGGTGTGCATGGGGATTATGTCATATGCATGGCATGGCACATCATGTTGTACGCATGGCAATTCGTGATGCATGCATACCACCACACCATATCATACGCACGTTACACATCATGTTGCATGCACACCAGAGTGCCCCCCAACAGACCAAGGGAATAGGCATGCAGAAAGGTCGGAAGGGCCATGCACGAGCCATGAGCAGGAAGACAGGTAGTGTCTGGAAACTCCAGGGGAAGAAGCAAAAGCAGTGTGCTTTGACCGCGACAAGTTAGAGGTACGAGGTAGCCTGGCAGCATCGCAGGTACAAGTTAGACCGGTCACTTGCCTGTAGCACCTGGCAGTTGTCCAACGTGCTCTTGCCACCCTGAGAGAGGAAGGGGGTCAGGAGAAAGGCAGGGATAAGAGCGGGTAGGGAACAGTGAAATGAGGAAAGGGATTAAAAGAACTTCAGCAAGAAAGGGGCAAGGAATCGAGGGGACGGAAAGAAAAAGCAGGGGAGGGAATCGGGTTGGGGGGGAATGGGGATGGGGAAGAAGATGGGGAAAGTGGGCATTGAGGCGGAATAGGAGTTTTGAGAATTCTGAAAATCACCTACAACATGAGGGGTTGACTCCAAAGGATCCATCATGCAGCGAGCTGGTTGCCAGGCTACCCGCCTGAGGCTGCAGGCACCACACTCCTTCCATGCCCTGCTGACCCAGTTTTTTTAGAATTCTAAAAAAATTAACTTAGCTCTGCGTCTTTTGAGAATTCTAAAAAAACTAACTGCTGACCCCCATACTCTGACCGACTCATGAATCAAATTGAAGCGTTCCCCAGCTCTACAGCTTCCCGTTCCGGATCAAATCTATCAACGCAGCCTCCCTCTCCTCCCCCTCGCACGCCACGCCACTCCAAAACCCCCCCCCCTTCTACCTTCACTGAGCATACCCAAGCCCCAACTTTTCTGACACAGTCCATTAGACACGCATTCCGCCAGACTGGCCCTTTCAATTCGTGGGATACCCAACTTCTTCTGCAGTCACGGCCCCATTCATATCCCACTACTTCCAACCAGAAGAATAGTCCACACCCGTGTATGTGACCATCTCCTTTCCGTCGCACCTTAGAATACGGAACTATGTGGTCGTAGTCGTAGCACACGCACCCTTTACACGCCACCAGCTGCCGAAACACCACGTTCCCCGCCGCGTCTCTGCGCCACCTGTCCGGATCCCGCCCGGGGACCTTCTCCGCCTTCTCCCAGCACGCCACCTTCACTGCGTGCGGAAACGCGCGCGGGTTCCCGCCCGCGGAGTATGCGCCGTTCCGCCCCCGCTGCTGCGCCTGCGCGGGCGGGCGGCTGGAAGTAGCAGGCGCGCGCGCGCCTCTGGATTCCGCCTCCGCGGCTCCTCCCGCCCCAGTCCCCGCATATTCGTCCTCCCACTCGTCGTCGTACTCCGGCGGCTCCGTGCGCCGCCGCGCGGGGCTGCGGTTAGGGGAGCGCAGGTCCTTCATGACCTGGCGGAGCGCGCGGCCTGCGCCGGGCGGCATGGGGACGGACTAGGGGGAGGGCGGCGGGAGATGGCGCGCGGAGCAGGAGGTGCAATCGTGAGCAGATGGCGCTCGTAGGAAAGGCGAAGGATGATCAGAGGGGAATGCGGAGGCGTGGAGGATAAACGGAGCTTGTTCCGCCGAAGAAGCAGCCCTAGGCGCGCCCTAATGCTTTGCCACGTTTGCCAGATGAGCGGATAAACAGAGCATCAACCGGAAGGGTATGTGTGCCTCGTCAGGTGCGGTTGGAGCAACAGGTGACCCAGAGCTGACACACACTCCCGGTATAAGGAGTTCGGTATTAGTGGATGCTGGTCACGATGTGAGATTATAGCACAAAATAACGAGGGAACATAATCTAACCTTCAACATCGCCATAACCAAGTTGTGGGAATATTAGCACTCCTGATACCGGTACCACACAAGAAATGGGCACTTTGTAAGAGGTAATCAATAGACTAAACGTGCATATGAATTCACTTCCAGATTGTGTTGTCATTTAGAGCACAATGGTTACGTGTGATGATGTGATCTACTCATTGTGCCCCACCTAGAGCCGCACGGCGGGCGCTCTCAATAGCGTCACGTTGGGAGTGTGGCTGGGTGTCGTTGAGAAGACTGGTGCCATCAAAGCGGCGGTACAGGGACCTGAAGGTCTCGTCGTTGCCTATGGACCGCAACTTGGCAAAGTCAATCTGTAGGAAATGGCAGAAGGGACGGAGTGGGGGGAGGGGGGGGGAGGGGTTGTTGATTGTGCATGAGGGACAAGTAGTGGGTTGAAAGGTGTTGGGCTTAGTATAGCCCAAGGATCTGTTCATTTCCAACTAAAGTCAACAGGACCGAGGACATGGGAGGGGTAGAATTGAATATCCAATGCAGTCTTTCCTTCGAGCTCGGTGGTGGATCTGACATATTGCGAAACACTTATGGTGAGAGAAAAGGGCAACCACAGAACAGAACTCAGTCACTAACCACTGAGTTAAAAGGGCTTGTTAAGTACCAGGTAAGTGCGCCCATAACCCCCCAGGCTCTGCACCTGTGACCCTTTCCCGAGGATCTCAAGGGCAACCCCAGCTGTATCTTGACAATCAGGACACATGAGAGGTGGTTGGCGGAGTGAGAGCATGATGGTTGGTGCCAGAGGGTGTGCTATGACCGAGTCATTCACCTTAGGCTGGGAGGGAGGTGAGAGATGAAGCTTTGCCCTATGCGCGTGAACGAGATGGATGGTGCGGCCAGACACCTGTGACGCACGTGCACACACACACACACACACGTGCACACACACACGTGCACACACACACAAACACACACACACACACGCACGCGCGCACGCACGCATGCACGCACGCACGCATGCACGCACGCACGCACGCACACACACACACGTGCACACACACACACACACACACACACACACACACACACACACACGCACGCACGCACACACACGCGCACACACAGGCACACGCACACACGCACACGCACACACACACAGAGACACACAGACACACACACGCGCGCGCACACACACACACACACACACACACACACACACACACACACACACACACACACACACAAACACACATATAGATGAAGGGCAAAGGAAAACAAGTCAAAAGCAGAAAAGAGATTAGTCACAAGACAAAAACTAAAATATAAAGGGCACAACAGGGAACAGAATAAGAGTAAGACACAGCAGGAGAAACATATACAGGGGCAAAGAAAAAAGCCTGGCTTCTGTGAGAGAGTCAGCTTGCTCTCAAGGTCTGCAGACTGCACCCCGAATCGAGAGGAGAGGTGGGTACCTGGGAGAGGCAGGTTAACTGGGAGAGGCAGGTTACCTGGCAGGGGCAGGTTACCTGGAAGGGGCAGGTTAGCTGGAAGGGGCAGGTTACCTGGAAGGGGCAGGTTAGCTGGAAGGGGCAGGTTACCTGGAAGGGGCAGGTTACCTGGGAGAGGCAGGTTACCTGGGAGAGGCAGGTTACCTGGGAGGGGCAGGTTACCTGGGAGGGGCAGGTTACCTGGGAGAGGCAGGTTACCTGGGAAAGCATAGTGAGGACTCCTTCTGGCCGCAGGGTGCCGCCATCTGTGGTGTGCTGCCCCACATACGACACCACCACACTGCTGCTGCTGGTTCCAGGGGTGGAAGCAGCAAAGGCAGCAGCGTCGTTGCAGCTGAGGCACATGGCGGATGGGAGGGCGCTGCCCTGCGGCACCACTCGCAGTTTGTGCAGCCGCGCTCTTAGATCAGTCTCCTGGGAATCGGATTGACAGGAAAAAACCGTGAGGGAAGGAGGTAAGAAAGGACCAAAGTGGGGAGCGGAATGGAGGTGGAGGGGAAGGGACGGGACATGGGGTATAGTGGTTGTTAGCCCATGTCGAAGCCTAGCAGCTATGCTCGGAAAGTTGGATTGTCTAAGCATATCTGCTAGGCTTCGCAGCCAGCAGGACGGACTGGAACACCGAGGAATGAACAGCGCAAGTCATCACCCACCCACCAGTGAAACCAGCAATCAGATGGTCCTGGCATTTGAGGGCATTTGGCCGGGAAATCAAAGATCAAATGCCACCAGATGCCAGGAACAAAACAGGAGGCCAGCTCGCCCTGGCAGGTAACTTGCCTTGGGCTTGGCGCCCTGCTTCTTCTGCAAGGTGACTGTGAAGGACGGGAGGGATAGCACTTGCGCCACCCACTCCTCCACTTGCTCCTGCAAGCTCCTTGCTTCTACGACTGCTCCTGCTCCTTGTGCTCCTGATGCTGCTGCTGCTCCCTCTGATGCTGTCTCACTAGCTGTGTTGCCCACCCCCTGTGCCCCCTCCGTGACCACTCTAATCAGCAGCAAGTATTCGATGGCATGGAGTTGCTGCGGCGGAGGCGGGAGAGGGGGGATGCATGGTGGAGTGGAAATGACGCAGGATGTTGGGAGAGAAGAGGACAAGCAGGGTAGGGAAAAGGCTGCAAAAGTGAGGGCTACCGGGGCGTTTGAAGAGCTGTCAATACCACTGTAACACGGGGGGGGGGAAATATTGGGAGGAAAGAAGCATGGCAGGATGATTAGTTGGCTATGGGGAGGGGAAAGGAGGGGAAGGAGCATGAGAGGAGGAGGAGGAGGAGGAGGAGGAGGAGGAGGAGGAGGAGGAGGAGGAGGAGGAGGAGGAGGAGGAGGAGGAGGAGGAGGAGGAGGAGGAGGAGGAGGAGGAGGAGGAGGAGGAGGAGGAGGAGGAGGAGGAGGAGGAGAAGGAGGAGAAGGAGGAGGAGGAGGAGGGGAGGAGGAGGAGGAGGAGGAGGAGGAGGAGGAGGAGGAGGAGGAGGAGGAGGAGGAGGAGGAGGAGGAGGAGGAGGAGGAGGAGGAGGAGGAGGAGGAGGAGGAGGAGGAGGAGGAGGAGGAGGAGGAGGAGGAGGAGTAAGGGAGGAGGAGGGGGCATCGAGTCTCATGAAATATCAGAACCAGACAAACAAAATGAGCCGCGTTTCCATCTCCTAAGCCGTCCCATACCTTACCTGTTCTTTTGTTCTGTTCTCCAAGAGATGACCGAATTCACTTAGGTCAAGACATCTCGCGGCAGCATAGCCCCATTGTGAGAGTATCTACCTCCTGGGATTCTCTGCTCACCTTTGTGAGAGTATCTGTGTTCTTTTTGTCAGCCCGGAAAATTGGCTCCTCCCAGGCCTCCAGCACGGGCAGCTCGTCGGGCAGCTAGGATGAGGAATGGACGGAGCAGTGAGCAGGGGGGAGAAGAAAAGCGTCAGAATGGGGAGGGAGGTAGGAGTCAGTGGAGGGGGAGAGTGAAGACAAGGGGGCGCGTTCTGAATTACCAAGGAGGATAGTAGGAAGATTGATGAGTTGAGTGAAAAGTAAACAGTGGGGCTTTTCAGGAGATGGGTGAGCAGGCAGGAGAGAGTGCGAGAGTTGCATGGAAGTTAAAGTGCTGATGGATAAGCAAGAGACTTGCAGCCACACGGAGGGTAAGTGCAGAGTAGATAGCAGAGGGGAGATTTACGAGACTTCGGGAAGGAAAGACGGGAAGGGAGAGGGTGGAAGGAGACTGGGAGAGTGAGGAAGTGATGTGCAGGCATGGTATGGAACCATGGCAAAGTGGGACAACAATTTGGTGCGGCATGGCATGGTATCGCATGGTGTGGTATGGCATGGCATGGCATGGCTGGAATTGTATGTGGCGGCACCTGTTCCTGGAGCTTCCTCTTGGCATCGGCCACAGAGAGCTTCTGAGTGAACTCAACGTCCACTAGCTGTTGAGGGGGTGGGGGGGAGAGAATGGGAGGGAATGTGCTCGCAATTGGACACGCTGGCCTAGAAGGAACGTGCTTGTAATAGGGCGTGCTGGTAAATAGGGCACGCGCTTGTAGCGAAGGAACGTGTGCTAGGGAGAGCCCATACCTCGCAGGAGCTGCTGTGGCCCAGAGGCAGTGGTGCAGCGCAGGAGATGCGCGGGAGGGAGTGGAAGCTGGGAGTGGGAGAGGGAGGGAGTGAGAGAAGGAGGGCATTTAGAGACACCAGGGGAGAGAGAGGGGCGATTGGGTTGGCACAGGATAGGATAGGATGGGTGACGGATGAAGAGACGTGGGGGTGCTAGTGCATATGGCTGTGAATGCGTTTGTGTTTGCTGAGTCGACTCAAACAGTGATGTGACGAGGTGCAGAGGTGAGAGGTGTAAGAGGGAGGGGAGGTGTTGTGGGTGCGGCGCACAAGGTGCGAGATGACCTCCGAAAGTACAGGCTGAAGCACGCTGATGTAGGATGCTTGGGCGACATACATAGTGGCATGGCATGACATATGGGTAGAATGGGATGGGATGCTATGCGATGGGATGGCAAGAACAGCCATGTGAAATGGCAAAACGAGTGCGTCATTCGGGAGCAGCAGCAGCAGGGTAATGTACTCCATAGAACTTGTAGCATAAGCCTTGGCCGAGCCGCAGATTAGAAAAAAAACAGCTGCTGCTCGCCCAAGGCTCACAGCTACAAGCAGCAGTAGGATACTGTACTCCATTCCACGGCAAAAGGAACAACGGCAAGGGCAGCCCACTTGTTCTCGAGGCAGGAGGGTGGTACATCGGAGAGCCGTATCGACGAGAGAACATTTTTGAGGAGCCCGAAAAATCAAAGCAACAGCAGCAGCCCACCCACCCGTTGTCGAAGCAGACGGGGAGGGCGGCGCGTCGGAGGGCCCTGTCGAGGGGAGCCATGGTGTCCCTGATGGCCCACTAGCGCCATGGCTCCCATCTTCGCAAAGTCAAGGGGAAGCAAACGGCAACCCACCCGTTGTCGAAGCAGACGGGGAGGGCGGCACGTCGGAGGGCCCTGTCAAGTAGAGCCACGGTGTCGAGATGGCCCACTAGCGTCATGGCTCCGATCTTCGCAAACCGCACCCGCACACGCTGCAAGCAAGACGTGCGGGATAGATAGATAGACACGGTTGGTGGGGGGGACCGGAAGGGGGCGCACAACGGGGAAAGTGCGGGGGAGGAGCAATCTGGCTGAGTGACGGAGTGGAGAGTGATGTTTGTGCCTTATTTCAGAATTCTCAAGGGAAGTTTTTGGTGCTGTAGATTGCTCTAGCTGGCTGTAGGTTTGTGGGCTTGGGCGAAAAAAGCTGGTTTGGCCCAACCCTTGTGCGATGTGAGTCGACTCCAAAGTCAATCACCTGCACACCCCTATTTCGCTCACGTGACCCAGAGGTGACTTTTGAATCGATTGAAAAGTCAACAAAGTCAATCACCTGCACACCCCTCTTTCGCTCACGCGACTCCTGAAGACCGGCTCTCAAAACACACTCAGACTGAGAGGGACAGCTTCCGAGTCGACTCAGAGGGAGGCCCGGTGACCGCTCTCAAAACACTATCAGACTGAGAGGGAAAGGTACCTGCACTCTCTTCCGGTTGGGCTTGAACTCCCCATCGTAATCCGGCACAGGGGGGATGGCAGCCACCACTGGTGGGTGGGGGAGATAGGCGGGGGGTGGGGAGAAGAGACAGGGGAAGGGACGGTGAGAGGCGGGTTATAAGGAGAGGGGCTGATGCGGCTGATAGAGAGAGTGCGAAGGGAGAGGGTGTGAGGGGAGGGTTGTGGAATGGAGAGGAATGGGGAGCAGAGAAAACGGGGAGAGTGACCTGAGAGCAGATGTGAGAGGGGTGCGGAAGAGCCGATGGGATGGGGAGAGGAGTGTCATTTCGCTCTTTGTTTCACTGTGTCCGTTCCCCGCGTTGCAGTCACAGTGGAACCGAAACTGCCAGGGCCGGCGTATGGACGGGAAGGAGAGAGGTACTACTACATACAGGCAGGAAGCGACATTCAGAAAGAGAGAGAGAGAGAGAGACATGGTCAGGGCGCCATGCCATGCACCAAGCAAAGGGTGTGTGGGGTGGGGGGGTAGCGAACGAAAAGTGAGAACACAACACACAGAGTGCACTTTGCCACCTCACCGTTTTCCCCAAAGTTCTCCTCCTCACACACCGCACTTCGGAACACACCTTGCTTCCACAAACATGGTACGCTTTGTTAGGCGCCTCCAAAATAGACTCCTCGCGCATGGGTTTTTTAGGCGCCTCAAAAATAGGCTCACCGTTTTCTCCAAAGTCTTCCTCGCACACACCGCACTTGGAACACACGTTGCTGCGAAAGTGAATGGCACAGGGACGGGAGAGAGGGAGGAAGGAACGCGGGCGGCGAGAAGGGGAGGGGGAGGTGGGAGGAGTAGAGGGTCGGTTGGGACTGAGAGAGATGGTTTGCAGGATGAGGAAATGTGCAGAGAAGAGAGAGTGGGGAGTAGGGAGAGTAGGGAGAGTCGGGGGAGAGTAGGGAGAGTGGGGAGAGTAGGGAGAGTAGGGCTGAGAGAAATCGGGCAACTTAGAAGTGCAACATGTTTGCATCCTTTCTCATTATCACAGGCTCGTTCCTGGCGTGCCTTCCCAACCCATTCAGCCTGAACCACCATGTCCTCCTCACCCCGCTAACCCCCAATTTTGCAGGGTGTTTTTTAGAACTCTCAAAAACACCATCATGTCCCTCCTAACACCCCGCAAACCCCATCTCCAGTCAGAGCAAGCACACGCACTTCCTCCCCCCTCTCTCTTCCCCCCCTCTCTCATCCCCCCCCCTCTCTCATCCCCCCCCCTTCTCTCATCCCCCCCCCCCTCTTCCCGCTTCCTCCCCCACACCCACACACCCACCTGTGCGAGCAGTCAGGCACAGTGGTGGCCTCCAATGCCCGCTGCAGGTCTGCCTTTAGCCACCAGCGCTCTATGCCCGTCTGGTGGGGGGGTGGGTGGGGGGACAGGGGGAAGGCAGTGGAGAGGCAGGGGGGGGGCGGGGCCGCGGGGGGGAGATGGGTGGGGCGGAAGGGAGACAGGGGGGTGGGGATGCAGGGGGGAGATGGAGAGGGATGATTGGCGGGACGTGGAAGGGTGGAGAGGAATGATGAGAGAGTGACTAGAGACTGCCATTGGTATCATCCCACTACAGCAACGCACATTGATGATGTCCCATGGCAGGGGGGCATCCAGCCTGGCATCCGCAAGCGGCCCCACGTCGAGACGAGACTTGCCGCCCTGCCCTCTGAAGCGGTCGTCGCCGATCTTCTCCATCACGTCCCACTCGCCGTCCACCACCTGCTACACACACATGCACATGCACATGCACGGAATATGCACAAGCACAAAGCACATGCATAACAAATGCGCATGCACATGCACATGGCAGGTAGGGAATGGGGATACGCATGCAGGGACATGCAGAAAACATAGACAAGCAGACACATGATGATGCGACAGGGATTTGTCGAGAGTAGCCCACACACGCACACACATCGTCTCCTGCTCTTCCCACACCCGCTCCCTCCTCTCCCTCTAGCAACAAGGCCTCAAGCCCCCCAAACTGGCTCTTCTTGGCTTTCATAAGCCGACTTTCGAGCCATCTCAGCAGCTTTCTCCACTGCCCTCTGCATATGCTCTTCCACCTTCTCCCCCCAAGCCTTCAACTCCCTTCCCTTCCCCCAACCTCACAGCCTCTCTCAGGGCTCACCCGTCGGTACTTCCACTCCAGCCCGCACTCGTCTATGGCCTGCGACCAGCAGCTGTAGCAGCGGTCCAGATTCACCCACCTTGAGCAGAGGAAGAGGAGCGGGAGGCGGGGAGAGAGAGGGGGGGAGGGATGGGGGAGACAAGGGAGGTCAGGAGATCGGTGAGGTTTGGAATTATGGGGCAAAATGCATCATGCCTCCGTTCCACCACTCCGTGCCACCGCTCCATCCCGCCTAGTCTATGGCCTGAGATCAGCAGCTGTAGCAGCGGTCCAGATTCACCCACCTTTTGGGGGCGTGGGGGGTGGGGGGTCGGGAGAGAGAAGGAGAGGGGTGGGAATAATGGGGGAGAATGGGGAGAGACAGATGACGAGAGAGGAGACACTTCACGTGATCTGCACAGGCATGTTTCACCAACACCACCCACATTTATCCTCCCATCTTTCAGCCCTCTCCCCTCCCCTTCTCTCTCCGTTCCCCCCGCCTCCCGCTGCTTGCCCCATCCCAGCCTATCACTCAAACACCCCACCATCACGCCCAGTCAGTCATCCATCACCCCCCCTACCAGGGGTCATTACAGCCCCCCAGCTCCCACGCACAGCCACACTGCATTTAACGAGCCTCAAAGGGAGGTCCTCAGGGCAACACTGGGGTGGCCATTGGCCAACCAAGCATAGGCAGTCCCAGTCGTACCACGCGTCATTGGAGGCGCCCAGCTCCCACGCGCGCCGAATCACCCGCCCAATGCTGCGGTCGCCACGCCCAATAAAGTCCTCCATGGCTGAGAGCTGCCAGGGACAAGCAAGTACATGAGGGGGGGAGAACGGGGGGTGGGGAGGGGTGGAGAGGGGTTGAGAAGGGTGGAGAGGGGGATGATAGGTATAGAAAGATGGCGTCTGGTGTGACCCGCCCTCCCTGTTCTGTGCTGTGCTGCGATCCCCCACAGTTGATAAAGTCCTCCCTGGCGGACAGGTGTCCTGGAAACAAAGAGGGGGGGAGGAAAGAGGAGGGGGGGGGGGGTTGCGGGGGGAAGGGGGAGGGGGGAAGGGGGGGAATGGGCAATGGTGAGCAGAGAAAGATGGGAGGGTGTGGTGTGATGCAGAGACGCTTGGGCGGACGAGTGTTAGGGCAAGACGAGTGAGCTGCGGGGGAGGAATGGGGAGCTGGTAAAAGAGACTGGAAGGCAGGGAGAAGGATGTTTTTGGAAGGATGGGGGGAGGGGGAGGAGGGTGTGGGGGGGAAAGGGGGGAGGAGAGGGAACGGGAGAGGTCAGTCAACTCCTTGAAAGTGTGTGCGCGTGTCCAACTCCTAAATTGGGCTGCATCTTTCACCCTAGACGCAGGCATGCGAGGCGTGCATGCTTGCCTGCTTGCGTGCATGCATGCATCATCCAAACTCACCCGCACGTCCCCGAAGTTCCACTTGACCCCTGGCATACGCACAAACGCGTCCCTGAGCATACGCTGCTTGCGCGTGAACTCCGCTGTCGACACAGTGTGCCTGCAGGGGGGGAGGGAAGAGGGAGGTGGGGGGAAAGGGATGCGGAAGGGCAGGAGAGGGGAGACAAGGTGGGGTGACTTCTGATTCGACTCGACTGCTCCACTCACAGTCACCTGAGCATGCGCTGCTTGCGCATGACCTCCGCTGTTGACACCGTGTGCCTGCCCACCAGGCAGGGAGGGGGGGGAGGGGGAGGGGGGTCGGGACGTAGTGCAGGGAAGACTAGGCGAGGTGACTTGTGATTCAGCTCAAAGTCACCCGAGCATGCACTTTTGGGCTGTGCGCAGTCTGTCAGGAGCCAGGTCTGCGTATTGCTAGGTATGGTGCCCGTACGCAAGCAAGCATGCCACATGCATGAAAGAGTGTATGTTGTAGGGCTAAGCATGCCTTACCACTGGAAGGGCGTGTGTGGCAGCTTGAGAGTGAGGCAGGCAAGGGAAGTCAAGAGAAGGGAAACCGGAAGTCAGTGAAAAATAAAGTAGTGTTGCTTGACTCAGTTAGGCCCCTTCACACTTGATCCTAAACCCTGATGCCTACATAGAGCATCACCAATCTGGAAGGGCGAGTGGGCCATGGATCCGAGCAAGCAGGCCTCACCACTGGAAGGGCGTGTGGGGGGCTCTGTGTCAAGCAAGTTTGACGGGCTTTGAGACGTGTCAAACAATGCACGAGTGCAATCTGTGCGTGCATTACCACTGCCTTTTGAGTCGACTCAAAAGTCACCTTGTCAAACAATGCATGAGTGCAATCTGTGCGTGCATTACCACTGCCTTTTGAGTCGACTCAAAAGTCACCTTGTCAAACAATGCATGAGTGCAATCTGTGCGTGCATTACCACTGCCTTTTGAGTCGACTCAAAAGTCACCTTGTCAAACAATGCACGAGTGCAATCTGTGCGTGCATTACCACTGCCTTTTGAGTCGACTCAAAAGTCACCTTGTCAAACAATGCATGAGTGCAATCCGTGCGTGCATTACCACTGCCTTTTGAGTCGACTCAAAAGTCACCTTGTCAAACAATGCATGAGTGCAATCTGTGCGTGCATTACCACTGCCTTTTGAGTCGACTCAAAAGTCACCTTGTCAAACAATGCACGAGTGCAATCTGTGCGTGCATTACCACTGCCTTTTGAGTCGACTCAAAAGTCACCTTGTCAAACAATGCATGAGTGCAATCCGTGCGTGCATTACCACTGCCTTTTGAGTCGACTCAAAAGTCACCTTGTCAAACAATGCATGAGTGCAATCTGTGCGTGCATTACCACTGCCTTTTGAGTCGACTCAAAAGTCACCTTGTCAAACAATGCACGAGTGCAATCTGTGCGTGCATTACCACTGCCTCTTGAGTCGACTCAAAAGTCACCTTGTCAAACAATGCAGGAGTGCAATCTGTGCGTGCATTACCACTGCCTTTTGAGTCGACTCAAAAGTCACCTTGTCAAACAATGCATGAGTGCAATCTGTGCGTGCATTACCACTGCCTTTTGAGTCGACTCAAAAGTCACCTTGTCAAACAATGCATGAGTGCAATCTGTGCGTGCATTACCACTGGAAGGGCGTGTGCGGCTTGGGAGTGAAATTGGAGATGGTGAGGCGCACACCGAGGAAGTTGCGGCCACGGCGACAGTTCTGCTGCAGCCACTGGGGGAGGGGCAAGGCAGGGGGGCGAGGCACAAGGCGCGAGGGGGGAGAGGGAATGGGAGAAAGGGGAAGGGCGAGGGGCGGATGGCCAGGAGGTTTGTGACGTCTGAAACCTCCACTGGGAGAAGGCCCAGAAGGGTGCGATGAGAAGGGAGAAAGGTGAAGGTTTTTTAGAATCCTCCACTGGGAGGAGGATGCGATGAGGAGGGACAAAAGAGAAGGGTTTCGGGTGTAAGGTGAATGGATAGGACGATGGAGGGAGCAGGGTCGTGGAGCAGGACAGGTGAAAGGAGGAGGAAGAACGGGGGGAAAAGCAGGACGAAGGGGTAAAGGGGAAGGGAAAGGGAGCAGAGAGAAGAGGGCAATGGGGGAAGAGGCGTAGGGGGGCTCACGGTGCCTTCATGGGCACCTTGATGCTGCTGTTGAGTCGATTCAACGGCCGATTTACGGGCAAAGCGCGCGGGCTCACCCTGATGGTTTTGGGGATGCCCATGACGTCCTCGTCCGTCTCCCCCGGCAGCCCGATCATGAAGTAGAGCTTCACCTGCCGCCAACCCTTGTCCCACGCCGCCTTAATCCCCCGCAGCAGCTCCTCGTCCGTCAGGCCCTGGTGTGTGGGTTGAGGCAGGGAAGGTCAAGGAGTGTTGCGAAAGGAGAGGTGAGGCGGAATGACGCCATAGTCTGTTGACCCAAGTTCAGAGGCACGTCAGTTGTCCCACGCAGCCTTGATTGATCCCCCGCACCAGCTCCTCGCCCGTCAGGCCCTGACGAGCGTTGAGGGACGTAATGGGTTAAGGAACTACATGAAGGGATGGAGCAACACAGCACGGCACGGCACAGCACAGCACAGCACAGCACAGCACAGCATGGCAGGGGATGGCATGGCATGGCAGGGGATGGCATGGCAGGGGATGGCATGGCATGGCATGGCAGGGGATGGCACGGCATGGCATGGTATGGCATGGCATGGCATGGCAGGGGATGGCACGGCATGGCATGGCATGGCAGGGGATGGCATGGCACAGCATGGCAAGGGATGGCATGGCACGGCATGGCATGGCATAGCATGGCAGGGGATGGCATGGCATGGGATGGCAAGTCTGACCTTATTGATGACATCTCTCAGCCTCTGCGTGCCTGCTTCAGGGGCAAAGGTGAGCGAACCCTGAGAGGCAGGCAGGCAGGCAGAGGGACAAGGAAAGAGTTGGGGTTGGGGGAGGGTGGGGGGAGGGTGGCATGAAGGTTGTGAGAGACCCCAATTGTGCTTGTGAGTGAGTAACAAACCATCAACACGCTCTCAGCAGCTGAGCGCCTGGGAGCCCCGACATGCGCCACCATTCCACCTTTTCGACATGGTTCACACCAACCCGCAATCCTTTCCCCATAGAGCGCCAATCACCAGCAGGGTTTCTCCAATCGGCTGTATCCACTCTCACCCCCAACAATACGTCACTCTTTTTGAGGCGCCTCAAAAATCGTCCCAACAATACGTCACTCTCTCATTTCTTCTCGTATGATTGATGTGTTCTCTTCTCTCCTTCTCGAAACCCGTCAGAAACTTCCTCTCCTCCGATCTCTCGCAACCCATCCGCCCATCAGTGGATGAGAGAGTGAGTGAGTGAGTGGGTGGGTGATTGAGCGAGTGAGTGAGTGATGAGTGAGTGATGAGTGAGTGGGTGCGTGAGTGAGAGCGTCACCTTGCGAGTGCCGCCAATGATGTTGGCGATGTCATCGTTGAAACGGTCCACCCGCTGGCTGGGCAGGGACAGCGAGATGGGCTGCTCCTTGAGGCGGTTCTTGATCTGACGGTGGGGGGGGGGGGAGGGAGACAGACAGACGGGCAAGTGTTTATGCAGGGCGGAAAAGAGAGAGATACATATGTAGTGGGAGAGGCAACTGGTGGAGAGGAGAGAGGGATAGCCTGATGGGCTGCTCCTTGAACCGGTTCTTGATCGGAGGCCAGGAGGGGGGGGAAGAAGGTGGTTGGGACGAGGGGTGAGCATGCCCTGTGTGTGTGCAATTGGCGAGCAGCGACAGAGAGATGGGCTGCTCTTTGAGCCAGTTCTTGATGCGACGGCAGGGAGAAAGTAAAAGGGCGTGGATGGGACCGGGGTAAGTGCGCCGTGTGTGTGCGATTGGTGGGCTGCTCCTTGGGAGAGCGAGACGGGCTGCTCCTTGAGCCGGTTCTTGATGCGAGGGTAGGCACGGAGAAAGGGGATGCATGCACCGTCAGAGTACTTAGATACTATGATGGACATATGCTTGACACGTGTCCTATCTTTCAACCACCGAGATCACCGCGGAACATGGGCATGCGCATTGCGCACTTGATAGCCTAGCCACCTGAGCTGACTTCGGAGTCGACTCAAAAGTCATCTAGATGCCTGGCGCGTGACCTATCATTCAACCCCTTAAATCACAGCGAAACATGGGCATGCGCATTGCGCACTTGATAGCCAAGCCACCTGAGCGTAGAGTATTTGCAGGCACCCACCCACCTGAATGCCGACCGAGGGGAGCGCCAGGTAGTCGGAGCAGCTGAGGGAGAGAAGGGAGAACTCCGTATAGCCCGTCTTCCTGGAGAAAAGGAGAAGATGGGGCGTTGACGCATGGTGTGGCATGGCATGGAGTGGTGTGGAGTGGTGTGGAGTGGTGTGGTACAAGAGATCGTAGAGGAGGGAATGTGAGGAAAATTCGGAGAGCAAAGGAGGAAGGGGGGGGGGGGGGGCAACAATGGAGGAAGGGATAGGGGGGTTAGGAACATGAGGGTGCGGAAAAGGGTGAAACGGTGGGGGGAGGAGGAGAATGAGGTGGGAAATCATGTCGACCTTCTCTCTCCTCACAACTTCACTCTCGCCTCTTCCTTCCATCAGTAGCTCCATCCACCTCACAGCATCACCAGTTCCCCCCCTTCCCCACCTCCCCCTCCCCCCCTCCCCTTCTTCCGCCCCCTTTTTTTCACCTCAACCCCCCCCCCCCCCCCCGCTCTCACCTCATGCCTGCTTCCACCGCCTCCACCACCTTGTCAGGATCCACGTCACGAGCTGGCCTAGTCAGCATGCCAGCTGGACATACATGCACACGCACGTGGACAGGGGTCAGGAGATGTGCCCATGGATGAGTGAGCATGCATGCACGGGAGGATGGGTGGATGCATGCATAAATGGATGTGGAGGTGCGGACGCACAGTCTATTTTCCAGGCGCCCAAAAAAACGCGGGCATAACAGCAACTGAGTCACAGCCGCTTATGTGTCATTAGATTGGATGAAGGAGCGGCTTGAGCACATAAGCGTGGTACTACTACAGACAGAAGGGGAGTGGAGGAGAGAATGTTGAGAATTCTCAAAATTCACCTACAACATTAATGAGGGAATAGATGCCATAAAGCGTTTAGATATAACACCAGCCTGCAGCCTGCAGCCTGCAGCCCAATCGTGAGATATATGGTCTGGTTCAAGTTCTTACGCTGGCAGAATCGGCAGCCGCGGGTGCACCCTCGGCGAATCTCCACCGTCAAACGGTCGTGAACTGATGATGTTGGAAGGCGGGGAGCAGAGAAAATGAGAGGAATGGTGTACAGGCAGTGGGGGGAGCGGGGTGAGAGGGTTGGGGAACACGTGTGTAATGAAACGTCGACTCAAAAAAAGACTCATTAAACACGTATGGAGGGTTTGGGGGGAGAGGCAGGGGTGCTGAGTGTGGTGAGGGTGAATGGATAGGATGGGATGGGGATGGGAGGGGAAGATGGACCAGCGCACGGTCGAACGAGGCACATTGATGGGGCACAATGGAGCCATTTTTTAGAATTCTCAAAGATGGGAGGGGAACATGGAACAGCGCATGGAGGAACGAGGCTCATGGATGGGGCACACATGTCGTGAGCAGTTGGGAAGAGAGTGAGTTGATTGGTGGTGAAGTAGTTTAGATTTGAGACGTCTCAAAAACTAACCTACTTGACCATGGATGGGGCACAAATGTCGTGACCGGTTGGGAAGCGAGTGAGTTGTTACATGGCCATTGAGCGAGCAGCACGACAGTAGGAGAGGTAGGGCCAGAGGGAGGAGTAGGTGGAGTATGGGGGAGGGGTAGAGGTGGAGGATCAGTGTGTGTGGGCCATACCAGTGGAGGTGAGTGGCACTAGACCAATGTGGTCCAGAGGGTTGGGCTGACACATGGAACAACACGATGCATGCACACCCATATGCGTACACATACATTCGCATGCACATATGCATAAACACACGGGCACATATGTACTTTTGAGAATTCTAAAAAAACACAGGCACAAGCGAAACAAAAATCAGAAGGACGGTGAGGAATGAACAGCACCTAACAGTGCCTTTTGAGTCGACTCAAAAGTCATTTTGAGCCGACTAAAAAATCAGAAGGATGGCGAGGCATGAACAGCACATAACGGTGCAACAAAGAGCGTGGGGAGCCCAGTTTGGAGTGCCATAGAGAAAGCACTTCACATGACACAGCATTTTGCTTTGCAGCTGTGTGGTTTGTGTGGCAGCTGGCTGCTGGGAGCTGACACATGGTGCATGGATGGTATGGTATGGTATGGTATGGTATGGTATGGTATGGTATATCGTGCCTGCAGCATGCCTCCATAGACACGCAGCATGGCTCACAGAACAGCACACACATCACACCACGGGTCTCTCTATCTCTCTCTCACAGTGGCCACGCGTCTGAGCACGCGAGACGGCACCCCTTCCACCTTAGGCAGCACTGCGGCGCCCCACCTGATGCAAGGTGATATGAGGGAGGCGGGGTAGTGGGGCAGTGGACACGGGAGGGGGAGGGGGGGCAGGGAGGGCGGACAAGGTAAGGAGAAAGGGTCTGGAAAGATAATACGGGAAGAAAGGGATGCTGGGGATGAAGGAGACGAGGAGTGATGCTTCGGGAAGAGGAGGAACGAAGAAGGGAGAAGATGGAGCAAGGAGGGGGAATGTGGGGAATGGGGGGAATGTGGGGAATGTGGGGAATGGGGGGAATGTGGGGAATGGGGGAATGGGGGGAATGGGGGGAATGGGGGGAATGGGGGGAATGTGGGGAATGGGGGGAATGTGGGGAATGTGGGGAATGTGGGGAATGGGGGGAATGGGGGGAATGGGGGGAATGGGGGGAATGTGGGGAATGGGGGGAATGTGGGGAATGTGGGGAATGTGGGGAATGGGGGGAATGTGGGGAATGTGGGGAATGTGGGGAATGTGGGGAATGTGGGGAATGTGGGGAATGGGGGGAATGTGGGGAATGTGGGGAATGTGGGGAATGTGGGGAATGTGGGGAATGGGCGCTACCTGTAAATGAATACCCCTTGCAGAAAGATAGGGCAGTGCAAAAAACACCAGGATACAGCTTACCCTTCCACCAGTTTCCCTCTTTCCCAGTTGCGGATCCCCTCACTCACGTTGTGCATTTTCACCAGCACCTTTCCTTACCCTGTGGGGCACAGTCTCGTATTGTGGAGGCACATACGCCTTCTTCACAGAGCGCGCCAGCCCCAGCAGCGTATTGCAGCAGTCACTTTCCCCTCCCCCATTCCCCGATCTCCATTCCCCCTTCCCCCTTCCCCCTTCCCCCTTCCCCCTTCCCCTTTCCACCTTCCCTTTCTCCCATTCCTTTCCCCACCCATTCTTACCCTGGCACTGTCTTGTACAGCTGCAGCACATACACCCCCTTGACAAACCGCGCCAGCCCCAGAAGTGCATAATACCATCGCTATCCCCTACCCAAGCACCCCCTCCTCCACCCACTCTCACCCTGGCACTGTCTCGTACAGCTGCGGAACGTACACCCCCTTGACAGAGTGCGCCAGCTCCAGCAGCGTATCGTCGCGCAACTATCCCCTCCCCTCCCCTCCCCTCCCCTCCCCTCCCCTCCCCTCCCCTCCCCCATAATCCCTTACCTCCACCCACTCTCACCCTGGCACTGTCTCGTACAGCTGCGGCACATACACCCCCTTGACAGAGCGTGCCAGCTCCAAGAGCGTGTCGTAGCGGGACAGGCGGCGCTGCTTGCACGTGTCCAGGCACTGAGCTATCTCCACCAGACACTCCTGGGAGGTGGTGATCAAAGGGCGGGAGTGGGAGGGGAACGCGGGCGCCAGGGGGAGAAGCAGGGGAAGGGGATAAGAATTGCTGCTGGCAGGTGTCCAGGCACTGAGTGACCTCCACTAGACACTTCTGGGAGGTGGTGGATGAGGGGGTTAGGGGGAAGGGAGGAGGAGGGGGTGGGGGGGAAGGGGATGCGGGGTGGGCTTCGTGTGGGCCATGTGGCCTAATTAGGGACCGCAAGGCGAGCTCAACACCACAAGCCATCGCTACATGATATATCCCCTGGTTTCCACGTTCAAGAGGATTCTTTATGCAGTGCAAAAAAACCTCAAAACGGATGAATTGAATTGGTTTCTGAGAACTCTCAAGAACCAACACAAGTCATCTCTACTTCCCTGCCCTGGCTTCCACCTTCAAGATGATTATTTATACAGTGCAAGAAAGCCTCAAAATGGATGCCCCACCCACCACAGCCATATCAGTCACCCCCTCCGCCTTCTCAATTCCGCAACCCCCATCCTTACCTCGCCATCGCCAATAGCAAAGAAGTCAAAGAAGTCTGAGAAGGGCTCGGGGTTAGATGTGGCGGTGGGGCCGCCTGGGAAATGAGGGGGAGGGTGAGAGGGAGGAAACGGAAAGTTGACAAGGGAGGAAAGGGCAGGAAAGAGCAGGAAAGGGCAGGAAAGGGCAGGAAAGGGCAGGAAAGGGCATATAGTGCAGGAAAGGGCATATAGTGCAGGAAAGGGCATAAAGTGCAGGAAAGGGAATGGAAGTTGGAACGCAAACAGGTCCGACAGAGTGGAATGGAAGGGCTGAAAGATTGAGGATTGACTTTTGCTGCTTGCAACACGGTTCAGCCAAAGATTGGAGAACATGGAACGTGGAGCCGAGCCACCACAACACCCCATCAAGCATCAAGCAGACAAAGCAAAGATGACAAACAGCAGACAGGCAGGCAGTAGAACCAGACAAAAGCGCGTCAGAAAGGTGCAGTGCAGGAAAGAGATCGGAAACATCCAGAGAGGCATCCAGAGAGGCAACCAGAGAGGCAATACATACAACATTCAGGGACGCATCAGGCACCTGCGAAGGCGAGCGGCATGCTGCCGTTGGTCACATCCCAGGGCGCTGCCGCATCCCCCCCGTGCCTGGCGGTGTCGGCATCCATCCTCTCCTGCCACGATATGGGGATGCCCGACTCCTGCAGCATCTGCAGAATGTTGGTCGCCCCCAGCTCGTAGCTGCGGGTTTCGGGGTTTAGAGGTATTTAAGAGGGGTTCAGGGTTTAAGGCTGGGTTTAAGTGGAGAGGGTGCGCGGTTGGTGTAGGTGCCAACGAGTCACTTGTGGGGATTCCCAGAAACGATTCCACTAGAAGAGAGGGAGTGGGCGGGGTAGGAGGGTGTGTGTGTGTGTGTGTGTGTGTGTGTGTGTGTGTGTGGTTGCTGTAGGAGCCAAGGAGCAGAGCGAGGGAGGGGCGAGGGAGCGGGGGAAAGGTGGGACGAGAGGAGGGTATGCAGGAAGAGGAGGACAACGCTAGGCGAAACTGCGAGGGAGAAGGAAAAGGGAGGGGAGAGAAAGGCCACCTGAAATGGGAGAGGAAATCGCCTGCGGTCAAAACACCTGAGGTGAGGTGAAGGTCAGATGAAACTAAGGGTGAACAGCAAAGCAACCCAGGATTGAGAATCACCTTGCGGAACGGAGCTTCACCTGAGGCTGAAGCCGAGGGTGTCAAAATCGGAGAGGGGGCGCTGAGACTCCACCGCGAAAAGGGACTGGCAGACAGACACCAGTGGAGCGGAGGGAAGGGACATTGAAGCGAGAGGAAGGGAAAGAAGAAGCGAAGGGGTGCTTGGTGCAGTCCAATTCTAGAACCATACAGAAGCAGGAAGAAGCCTGGGGGGTGGTAGAATCACAAACAAAAAACAGAGGAAAAGAAAAGAGGAGAGATAGGAAGAAGCCAGAGAAAATCAGACGAGAGCAGGCTACCCTATTAGATCCTCCTACCCTACCCTATCCTACCCCATCCTATCCTGCACTTACCTTGTTGTACTTCTTGAGGCACTGGCTCATATCCTCGTCCACGAAATACGCTCTATCGCACATAACGCCCTCGGCTTGATTCAACACCTGGTGAGAATTTTGTGTGGAGGGAGGGAGGGAGGGAGAGGTTGGGGAGTGAAGGGAGGGAGGAAGAGCCGACTTTTGAGTCGAGTCAAAAGCAATTTATGCGGAGGGAGGGAAGGGTAAGAGAGTGAACGGAGGGAGGAAGATGCAAGGGAAGTGGGACAACGGAGAAAAAGAGGGGAGGAGGGGGGGGGAGGAGGGGGGAGAGGGGAGAGGGAGAGGGGGGTGACAAGACAGTTTCCCTTAGTTATTCACTTTAATCCCAGTGATTTACGTGCTCCATCTTACCCTTCGCTACCCTCTACTGCTTCCTCTTGCGTCTCTCCCCAATCCCCCGCACATTTCAACCTTCCCCCCCACACTCGTCCTCCCAATACTCATTCCTTTTCGCCATGCTCCTTACCGTGTACAGAATGATGTGACCTAGATTGCTGGCTCCAACCTGCGTTGGTGCACAGCACAGACACGCCGCGACGGGAACAAGGGCGGAAAGAGAGACACACGAGACTCAAGAGGTGAGAGATGAGAGAGGGAGAGAAAACGAAGACTAGGAACAGCCTGGTTGGTACGGATCATGGCTTTCAAGGCAACGCAACGGACGGATGCAATGCATCGAGTGTGCAATGCAACATAAAGAACGATTTGATATGACAAGTAACTGATTTGATGGGGGTGCGGCATGGCGTGCTCTGCCTGCCTCCGCCTCACCTCATAAACCTCCGGGTGCGTGAGGCAGAAGCTTTTGAATCGATAATAAGCCGCCTCTCGCCGCCACACCTCTCGCGTCTCACCACTTTCCTCTCACCTCTCACCTCCCAACTCTAGCACCTGCCGTCTCACGTCTCACGTCTCACGTCTCACGTCTCACGTCTCACGTCTCCCGTCTCACGTCTCACGTCTCACGTCTCACGTCTCACGTCTCACGTCTCACGTCTCACGTCTCACGTCTCACGTCTCACGTCTCACGTCTCACGTCTCACGTCTCACGTCTCACGTCTCACGTCTCACGTCTCACGTCTCACGTCTCACGTCTCACGTCTCACGTCTCACGTCTCACGTCTCACGTCTCACGTCTCACGTCTCACGTCTCACGTCTCACGTCTCACGTCTCACGTCTCACGTCTCACGTCTCACGTCTCACGTCTCACGTCTCACGTCTCACGTCTCACGTCTCACGTCTCACGTCTCACGTCTCACGTCTCACGTCTCACGTCTCACGTCTCACGTCTCACGTCTCACGTCTCACGTCTCACGTCTCACGTCTCACGTCTCACGTCTCACGTCTCACGTCTCACGTCTCACGTCTCACGTCTCACGTCTCACGTCTCACGTCTCACGTCTCACGTCTCACGTCTCACCGTCTCACGTCTCACGTCTCACGTCTCACGTCTCACGTCTCACGTCTCACGTCTCACGTCTCACGTCTCACGTCTCACGTCTCACGTCTCACGTCTCACGTCTCACGTCTCACGTCTCACGTCTCACGTCTCACGTCTCACGTCTCACGTCTCACGTCTCACGTCTCACGTCTCACGTCTCCCGTCTCACGTCTCACGTCTCACGTCTCACGTCTCACGTCTCACGTCTCACGTCTCACGTCTCACGTCTCACGTCTCACGTCTCACGTCTCACGTCTCCCGTCTCACGTCTCCCGTCTCCCGTCTCCCGTCTCACGTCTCACGTCTCACGTCTCACGTCTCACGTCTCACGTCTCACGTCTCACGTCTCACGTCTCACGTCTCACGTCTCACGTCTCACGTCTCACGTCTCACGTCTCACGTCTCACGTCTCACGTCTCACGTCTCACGTCTCACGTCTCACGTCTCACGTCTCCCGTCTCCCGTCTCACGTCTCACGTCTCCCGTCTCACCTCGTAGACCTCGGGGTACGTGAGGCAGAAGCGCACTCGCGCGCTGCCCCAGTCCTTGCGGATGGCGCCGTGCTCCTTGCCCAGGTACCGCGCTGGCTTGCGCAGACTGCCGGGCGAGGACACGGGGTAAGGGACACGGGGCACGGGAGACGAGGCACGGGAGACGGGGCACGGGGGACGTTGCTTTTGAGTAAAGAAAACAGCCGGTTTTCTGTCATTCTCAAAGGCCACGCGCATGCGAGCGCGCGCTGCCCCAGTCCTTGCGCATGACGCCGTGCTCCTTGCCTAGGTACCGCGCTGGCTTGCGCAGACTGCCGGGCGGGAGGAGGAGGGAATGGAGACGGGGACAAGGAGACGGGGAATTAAGAGACAGGGAAGGGCAGACAGGGGAACGGATGGCCTTTGAGAAACGGACAAATTCACGGGCGCAGGTAGCAGCAGAAAGCACTGGGAGTAAGCGACGGCGGCAGCGAGCAGGTGGCATGATCCATGCGCGCAAAAGACGCGCAAGCAGATTCTCAATCAGTTCAGTCGGTTTTCGAGAAATTCTCAAGATCCGACTCATCCAGGTGGCTGGCGAATGCAAAATGGCGGCTCCTAGAGAACGAGTGATTCGAATGATTCGCAATTTATTGGATTGGAACGACGTACGATCTCAAACGGGGAAACGAACGCACTCTTGGTCTACAAGAGTACAGTAAGGGCTGACGCACTGCACAGCGGAGGCTGTTTTTTTTTTTTCGTACTGACGTGCCGCACTGGACGCGAAGGGCAGGTGCAACGGGCAGTGAGGAGATTAAGGAGTTCAAGGACATCAACGGATTACTCACCTGAGCCACTCGAAGAAGGGAATTCCTGCAATGGCGTCGCCGCTACCGTCGATCAAGGCCGAAGCTGCTGCAGCCGCGAGCGCTTCTTCGTCCCCCACCGCTCCCCACTGCGCCAATGCTTCCGCTTCCCCCTCCCCCTCCACCTCCCCCTCCAGCGCTTCATCCTGCTCCGCCGCTCCGCCTTCCGCTAGTCCGCTCTCCGCTCCCGCGACCGCGGCGATCCGCGTGGATCCATTGCGCGCGGCGGAGGGAATCCGCGCGGAAGCATTGCGCGGGGTGTATGGGATCCGCGGAACGGAGACGCGGAGACTAGAGGGTGAGGGGGAAGAATCTGCGGGGTACACTCCGCGAGGAATCTGAGCTGGACGAATCGGAGTGGAGACGGCCTTGGGTGGCTGAGACGTTTTGTTGATTAAAAGAGTCGAAGACGCGGATGTGACACTCGCGGGGTTTCGAGGAAGGGAGGGTGGGAGGAATGGGGAGCGGAGGGAAAGCGCCACCGAGTGGACATGGCCGGAATGCACGACGAATGAGGACATTGTTTTGCACTTGACAAAATCGACCCTGACGACCTACGCTGCTCTCGCAACGCGCTTCCGATACACCCTAGCACGCATGAATTGTTTTGCAGGAAGGAAGGCTGCTTTGGAGATACTAGCTTGTGTTGCACAAGCCCACGTCTTTCTGGAGGTCGCTAAGGGATAGCAAAAAGAGCATTGATGAAACGTCGGGGCCATGTTGGCAGTGCATGAAAAGAGGGTGGATATTTCAGTGGCCACGTCATCCTTACACACAGGGAAGATCCTGGCGACGTGGCCACCGTCAATTCTGCTATGAGTGCAGATATTCAGGGTACACTAAGTTATGAGACTACTACTACACAAGAATGTGGTTTTGTACAAGCAATTTTTTTTATCCACATCCACTGTTTGGAACCATTATGAGCAGGGCTGACTTTATCAGACTATTTACTCTGATTAGTCTGAAATCTCAGACCTGTTTTTTGGCCAAACCTGAATTTCCAGATAAGGCATTTTCCCAATCCTGATCCCTTCAGAGTACGATTCTAGGGATCCTGAGAAAATCAGAGTTGTCGCTAACCCAGTACTGAGTTTTCAGAGCACAGCGCGTACAGACCCTGACTCATTACCTGTATAGTACCAACCTTCGGAAAATTTGGTGAAGTCCCCAATCGCTAGAGACATGCCCCACACACCCCACAACCCCTAAAAAAAATTGGCCAAGTCCCCGAACCCTAGAGACAACCCCCACCCCACACCCACAACCCATCTAAAATTTCGGCGAAGTCCCGGAACACTAGAGACATCCCCCACACACCCCACAACCCACCCTAAATTTCGACTAAGTCATGTTGTCAGATACAGTCCTCCCTAACACCTGGAACAACCCAGAAGTTTTGAATGAGACATTTACATTTTTTTTTTTAACTGCATTGGAATGAGAGTAAATTCCGCATTTTTAACATAGGGAAATTCTCGCCAGTTGCCCGTTTGGTCAACTGAAAGTCTACCAAAATGTAACGGTCACGATCGTTTGCGATCGCTTCGACATATATCAATCGTTCGATGTTATGTTGTGATTAACGTCCAAGATTTCCCCACCGGGGCGCTACAAGGGCGCGAAATTTCTCCCACCGTCCTATTCCCCAGCTTCCCCCCTCCCTGCCGTTTCGATTCCCCCCCCTCCCCTCTGTTTCAATCACTTCCCCTTCCTCTCCGTTTCGCTTCCCCCATCCTCTCCGTTTCGACCGCCCCCCCCCTTCCCCCCCTCCCCTTCGTTTCGCTTCCCCCCTCCCCTCCATTTTGATTCCCTCCCCATTTCCCCGTCAGTTTCGATTCCCCCTCTCCTCAGTTTCGTTTTCCGTGGCAGTGCGATTTTACCCCCTCGTTTTTTAGGAATGACTTCCCCGTTTCCCACATTTAACAACTACGCAAAACGAGGGTATGACAAGGTTGCTGGTTGGGGGGGGGCGCGGGCTGTGGGAGGATTTTTTATGGCTGCAAGGGACTTAGCCGAATTTTTGGGAGGTGTAGGAGGGAGGGAAGTTTCTCGCTGTGGGGGTGTTTCCTGTGTGTGACTCTGGTTGTACGTCCTGGACCCTGAAAAAATCAGACTCGCTGAGTTCTGGACCCTGACATTTCAGACTACAAAAATTTCGGCTGAAGGCCCTTCAGACTATTTTTTTTTTGGGGGGGGTTGGCTCAGAGTGCCTTTTTTTGAAACGTCAGCCCTGATTATGAGAGCATCCCTGATATTTTCTTTTTCTAAGCCGGACATATTTTTTTCCTTTAATTATGGATACATTTTAAACAAGTGGTAAGGATAGATTTGTCAACTTATACATATGCTGTATGTAGAAGTTATAGGCTAGCCTAGGTGTGTGCTTCTAGTGAGTACAACCCCAACAGGTACATGTTCTAGGTTTCTCATACTAGTCCATTCATTCTCTCTTTCTAACATGGTATCATGAGTAGGTTCGGTTCCTCTCGCCCGCCCACGCTTCCGCCCTAGGCCCTAGCCGCCCTCGTGACCCGTCCCTAGCTGGCCCCCTCCCCCCTGGCTGTCCTGTCCGCCCCTAGCCGGCCCCCTGGCCATCGCGCCTGCCCCTAGCTGGCCCCCTGGCCGTCGCGTCCGCCCCTAGCCGCCCCCCTGGCCGTCGCGTCCGCCCCTAGCCGGCCCCCTGGCCGTCGCGTCCGCCCCTAGCCACCCCCCTGGCCGTCGCGCCCGCCCTTAGCTGGCCCCCTGGCCATCGCGTCCGCCCCTAGCCGGCCCCCTGGCCGTCGCGCCCGCCCCTAGCTGGCCCCTTGGCCGTCGCGCCCGCCCCTAGCCGGCCCCCTGGCCGTCGCGCCCGCCCCTAGCTGGCCCCCTGGCCGTTGCGTCCACCCCTAGCCGGCCCTCTGGCCGTTCGCGCCCGCTCCTAGCCGGCCCCCTGGCCGTCGCGCCCGCTCATAGCCGGCCCCCTGGCCGTTCGCGCCCGCTCCTAGCCGGCCCCACCTATCCCCCGGCCGGCCCCCTCTACCGCCCGCCCGGCCCCTCCACAGCGCCCGCCCGGCCCCTGCTAGCGCCCGCCCAGCCTGTTGCGCCCGCCCGCCCGGCCCCACCCAGCGCCTGCTCGGCCCTGATACGCCTGCCCGATTCCTGCGGCCCAGAGCTCCCACTGCCTGCCCGGCTCCTGCGGCTCCGTGTCTTCTGCTCAGTACGGTTCCTCGGGTCTCCGGCCTCGTGTCTTCTGCTTGCCAGCGCTGGAGCGTCCTGCAGACGTCCCCCAGGAGCTGTGCTGCTGTGTCCTTGTACTGCTGTGTCGTATGGAGCTGTGCCGCTGTGTCCCTGTGTTGTTGACCCTACACGATGGCTGACTTTGTACTCCGCCTGGACGCTGAGGGCCATGCGGTTAACTTCGCCGCCTGGCTGTCCGATCTCCGCCGTCAACTCACAGGTCAGCGCCAGGATGGGCACTCCTTGGTTCTCCATACTGATGGCTTGCTCCCCCGCCCCCCTGCGCCTGCTCACCTCCCTGCTGACCCCACCTCTGCTGAGCGTGAGACTTTCTCTGCTGCTGCACTTGCCTGTGCCGTCTGGGACTCTCGCGATGCAGTTGCTCAGGTCGCTATCAGTCACGCCCTCCCTGTATCTGAGTGTTCGCGTTTTGCTACAGTTGATAGAGCCAAGGCTTACTTAGAAGCTGTTGTTGCTTGCTATTCCATGCCTGCCTCCGCTACTGCAGGCCGCCTGCTCTTCCCTATGCTTTTCCCAGACCTTGCTTCCTTCCCTAATGTTGCTGACCTTGCCACTCACCTGCGTGCCCTAGAGTCTCGCTACCGCACTGCTAGCACTGCTGCCCAGCTCACTACGCTCCCTCCCCCCTTCTGCATGACCCTCTACTTTATCGCCATGCACCTGCCTGACCGCCTTGCTAGTGCGCGCGACCACATCCTTAGCCAGCACCCGGGTGACCTCACCCTGCCAGCCTTTGTCACCGCCTTGACCGAGATCGAGACTCGCCAGCGCACTATCGCTCAGTCGAGCGGTGCGCCGGCAGTCTCTATCTTTCACGGCTGTGCCCCCTCCCAGTGCACGTTTACTGACGTTTCGGCTGCGGTCGCCACTGCGACCCCTTTGACCGAGACTGCAGCAGTCTCGGACCTCCCCAACTGGCAAGCCTGCTTCGTCAGGGCGTGCCGATCTTTGAGTTAGATATGGATCAGATACGTGCTGCTTTGTATGCCTTGTATGCTGACGCTTCTAGTGTTGCTTAATCTTATTACCCTGTGTACTCCAGCTTTGGTGTAGCACCCTTGTGTAGCTTAGCCTCCCATGCTGCATCAGGCATAGGCCTTCCTAGTTTGCCTAGCCTCGTTCCTGCACCGGCCCCGTTCCCGGCCTCTGCTACTGCCTCGCTGTTCTTCACTCTCGACTCCGGTGCTTCAGCCTGTTTCTTCCGCGACCGCTCCACACTCACGCCACTTGCTGCGCCTGCTGTTGTCGCTCTCGCTGACCCCTCTACGGGTCCTGTCGTCGCTCGCAGCTCCAATTCCCTTCCCTGTCCAGCCGTTCCCTTGGGCTCCCTTACAGGCCTCCACGTTCCCTCGTTCTCCAGGAACCTGGTTGGTGTCGGCCGTCTTCAGGACCTCGGCGTCACCACAACGTTCCCCGTGCACGAGCGGTTCGCTGTCTGTACCGAGGCAGTCTCAGGTTCCCTCCTTGCAACGTTCCCCCGGGACCCGGTGTCCGGTCTGTTTACCCTCGACACCGCTTCCCCCCCGGTTGGTGCGTCCTCCCAGGTCGCTGCAGCTTGCTCATGTCAGTCCCTCACACACCCGTCCCTTCTGTGACACCACCGCTTAGGTCACCCTGCTCTCCCACGCCTGCGTCACATGTCTCAGCACGGTCTTGTCTTAGGCCTCTCCGAGTCGCTCCCCGCACTTCCCCCCTCAACTGCGCCACCGTGCATGCCTTGCGACGAGGGCCGGCTCCGCCGTGCCCCTCACTCCTCCTCGCTTCGCCCTGCTACTGCTCCCCTTCAAACCCTGCACCTGGACGTTTGGGGCCCAGCCCCCGTCCCTGGACCGCGCGGTGAGCGCTAATTTCTTGTGCTCGTCGACGACTATACGCGCTACACCATGGTGTTTCCCCTGGAGCGGAAGGCCGACGTGCCCGACGTTCTTCTCCCGTGGGTTGTGGCTGCGCGTCTTCACCGCGGTCTCCCCGTGTTGTGTCTCCACTCTGACCGTGGCGACGAGTTCGCCTCTGGTCGGCTTGGACAGTTCTGTCGTGCGGAGGGCATCACTCAGTCGTACACCTTGCCGGACTCGCCACAACAGAATGGGGTTGCTGAGCGCCACATCGGCTTGGTCATGGAGGTTGCTCGTACCTCCATGATTCATGCCGATGCCCCTCATTTTCTTTGGTCGTTCGCTGTCCGCTACGCTGCTCACCAGCTTAACCTGTGGCCACGCTCCAAGCGGCTGCGGGTTTCGCCGACCCTCCTTTGGACCGGGTCCCCCGGTGACGCATCTGCATTCCACGTCTGGGGTTGCCTTGCTCACGTTCGTGCCTCTGGCACGGACAAGCTTACTGCCCGCACTGTCCCCAGTGTCTTCCTCAGTTTCCCCATGGACTCGTCTGACTGGCT